TTTCATTAACCTTCCGACCGATTTCCTTTCTGGCCAATTAAAAAGCCAGTTCAATTGTTTGCCAGTGTGTCAACTTAATCATTTTAGCGCATTATCCTCTCACGTACACGTCATCACCCCACATACATATATCCTGGCCGTTATCCTTGCCCATGGCCCAACCTTCAATGTGCCAGAGTGTTGCTTGCATGGAAAACAAACCGTAATCAGTTGAAGAGCCGAGTGCGCTCAAGAATTTCCACTTGCACTTGCCAACGGCCACTTGGAGCTATAAACTGTGAAGAGCTCTTCCGGCTACCAGCAGCAGCATCCGGATGCGGATGAGGCAGCTGCCCCATCGAGTGTCCTTGAAATCGAATACATCTGCAGCAGCTGCTCCTCTGATCCTGTGCTCCTGCACACAGAGGAAAAACTAAGCTGTCTAACTGGTAGTTGGAAATTGATGATTTAAGAATGCGAATGATTTAATTCCTTTACTGATTGGTTTTGTTTTAATTGATCTCTTAACAAAATATAACCACAGTAAAAGAATGCTAAATTGCATTCATAAACAATTTTATTTTAGCATCAGAAGCTACATTAACTCACCATTATATTTGAGCTGCCCCTTACAACAATTTTCTCAGTTTTTTTAAATTTTAAGGTAACTCTAGACTAATGTCTTTCAAGACCCTTTTTTTGCATTGGAAGTTCAATATAATGATTCAAAAAAGTTGATGTGTGGCATTGGAAGTAAAATCTTGATTGATTGGTCATTAAAATTTGGACATGAACAAATATTGTTGGAACTTAAAGCACTTTGATGATATATTGGTGAGAGTGAACTTTGTATCATTTTATAGATGAAAATTTATGGATTCAAATTTCAGTCCAAGGCAGCGATAGGTTTTATCCTTGTCAGTATGTGCGAACGTCGAATAAATGTGCATAATTCGGAGAGCAGGTGCATCAACGTTTATGCTACATGGTCGAAATTGCTTTAATTAAAGTTTGAGAAGGACAAGGGCTAAATGGGACATCGATTGCCCTGGAAACCTTTGGCCCGCTTATCGGGCTAAACCTTTGGGCTCGTTTTGCTCCTGTTGCCATCTCTGCTCGTGATTTGGTCGCTGGGTCGACAGCTCTGCGTTGTCAAAGTGTCAAAGTGTAATCATGCTTTGTGCGAGAGAAGCTTAAATTAAATTAATTGACGGCCACTTGAAGTAAATTAAACTGGGCCCGAAACGCTTTTATTTCAGCCGTGGAGGCTGCTGTTGCTTTTTCTCTTCCTGTTGCCATCGTCAATGTACTGCTATTAAAGAGATTACAAAGGGTCAAAGGGATACCAGCGATTGCTCATAATTGCGCGACGCCTGCGGCCAACCATCGAATGCCTTTTCTGCTCCTTTTTTCCGACTTTTCCCAGGGCTTTTGTTGCGAAAGTGTCATTTGCGTTGACTACTGCCCGAAAGATTCTGTGACAGAGCATTTGGATGGCAAACTAATTAAATTTTGCTGGATGCGCTCCGACGGCCTGAGTTTGTGTGGCGGATATGGGCAGCCAAATTGGCGCCGCAAATTGGTAATTACCCTGGCTGAAGTGCATGTCAAACACGTAAAAAGGCGATGGAGAGCGGCAAAGAAAGCTACCAGTTTCTAGCTGCCAGCTCCCATCTCTGAACAATGTGCAATTAGCCAACGACAACTGAAACTGCAGCTGCCACTACAAATATATGACACTGGGAAAAAGCTCATGCTTCAATTAATTTCTAGATTTAAGAATGTTAAGCTGTGAAAGGCAATAGCTTGTTGAATTATAAGCACTAGAAATTGTTTGACATTTTGTTGTATTATGTTGCACACTTTAAGACATGGAGATTTTGGGAAGAAACAATATAAAATTCTGGACGCTAGCAAATAAAGGTAGAGTTTACATTTGAGAACTCAATGTTTTCTTTAAAGACAACTTTAAAAAATTAATCTAAAAATGTATCACTTATGGGATTTTGTATAGAATTTTTAATTTCGTAAGGTTAGTTTAGGGCTTAAGTGTGAATTTCACACAATTTTTTCTTCTGTGTATTGTGAGCTGCATTAACACGACACTGCGGCGATGACAATCAAGCAAACGATGCCGTCGACCACGCAAAGCAGCTGACGACGCGTGTCCTGAGTGTCCTGGCTGTATCTGTGTGTGCCTTAGTGTGTGGTTGTGGGTGTGTGAGTGGCCTTTGGCTGCCTTGTGGGCGGGGGCGTGGTCAACTGCAGTTGAGCTGCCTAATTACTTGTAAGTTGGTGAATTTGCGGCATGGCGTTTTCGGGGGCCCGGCAACTAAATTGAATTTGACGTGCCAGCAAGCGGTCAATTGCTAACGAGTCGCACCACCATTCTGCACCACCAAATGGGGCGCCAGTACCGCCGGAAGGTTACTGATGCGGACTGTGGACTACAGACGAGTGGACGGACGGATAACGTCGCGTGTCCGTCGTTTCCTGCTTCCTGTGCCAGCGCAACTTGCTGATTGCCGGCGTGTAATTATTTTTTAAGCACTTTGTCTGCCCGAGAAATTAGACCTAACTAAGCCAATCTCTTTTATTTCATTTCGGATATATTTTTTTGTGTGGTCCTTTTTTTGTTAGCTCGGTTGCATTTGAATAGCGTAACGGGAGGAAAAAAGAAGAGGGCAGATTTGGCTTTTGGGTCACACACGGCGGTCGGGAATCCTTGGCGCGTATATCCTCTTGTTGCTTGGCTTTCATTTTTCGGTTGCTTTGTCCAATTAGCAACTGTTTCGGGGGCTACGATTTCATTTCTTTTATTGTGCTCGTTATCCTTTTTATTTTGTTTCGCTGTCGCTGTCGCGGTCTGTACTCGGTTTCAGCTTGTGCAAATTTGATATCCTTGTTAAGGCAAATTGTTGTACAATTATTCCGACTTCGGCTTCGCCTTGGCCCTATCCTCCCCTTTGGAAGCTCTTTAATTCGACCATCGAATCGAATCGAATCGAATGATATTTATATGCTCCACAAAACGTCATAGTACCCCCTCATTGTCATTGTCCTGCGCCAATATTGTCGCCCTTTCGATTATTTATGATCTTTACTTTCGAGCGAGTGCTCCCCACGGGCCTGTGGCCAAGTTTTAGTAGTCATCGTCCTCGGCTCGGTAATAAATTTATGCTTTTTTATTTCCTCCTGTCATAATTTTACCCACAAATACAAACACACACACACACGAAAAACGAGATGGAGGGTGGCGATAACAAAATACTTTGGCATTTTTCCTTCGCATTCTCGAGTTCCGCCCTTGAGTTGCTTCACTCCTTTCAGGACATCCTTTTACCCCCTTCTCAGTCTGTCTAGAAATTTTCCAATTGATAAATTATTTTATGGCAAATACACAAATTTTCTCATACGCACCCTCACTCTTTTGCGTTTTTGTGTGTGTGTGGTTTTTGGTTGTTGCTTTTGCGGCCTGGTTTTTCGATTTTCATTTCGTGGATTCTTGAATTCTCATCCTCGTGTCCTGCACATAAAAACCGAATACCCGTAATGCTTTGGGTACGTAATATCCTTGTGTATTTTTGCGTATTTCCTGTCCTAGCCTCTTGGCCGAGCGGTCACTCAATTCTCTGCTTGTCATCATCATTTTCTCTGCCGGATACTTTTTTGTTTCGCCCCAAACACATAAAATCAATCATTTTTCTGCTGGGCCGTCTTTATCAATATTTTTTGTGATGCCTTTCATCAAAATTTGTTGGTTATCTTGTTTTTTTGCCGGTTTTACTTCATCCGGTTTTTTTTTGCTTCCCATATCTGGCAAGAGTCTTAGGCTGAAACGAGAACAAATTCGAGTCGATTTATAAAGCATTTAGCTTGGTCTTGCTTTCACTTTGTGCAAGTCGGGGTCCTTATAAATATGCTACATTTATTTTAATAGAATTGTTTATGAGCCCCATATTGGCAGCGCCGGCAGTCGGCCTAAAGCTCCATTCTGTGGGTTCCAGCAAGCGCAACTGCCAAAACATGTTAAGTAGAAAAATTGTAATAAAAGAGCGCCGAATAAAAAGCCATGCGAAATACACACACGGATAGTGGAAAAACCGCGCCAAATCAAAGACAACAAATCCAAAATGCGCACACAATATTTTGCGGGATTATTTCAGTTGGCTTGCTGTCACTGCAAGTGCGGTGGGGGGGTGGTAGGGTTTTCAGTCCTGTGCACTATCCTGGGGGGACCAAAAGTTCGGGCTACGATCCAAATTTCTGTTAATTTGGCAGCTTGTCCTGCGTTGGCAATTTTTTTTTGCCTGGCAGGCCTGCCTGCCGTCGTTTATATTTTTTTACGCTCTGCTTGAGTTTTATTCGCATGCGGAAAAAAGTCGAAGAAAACTCGAACATATACGAATGTTCGTATGTGCACAGTCAAAAAAATATATAATTTGGCCAAAACTTGTCAGTTAGAACATAAAAAACGATATTTTTACACATAAAACAAATTTTTCTAATCATTTAGCTAATAAATTATGAAATATCAAAGAGATTTATGAAACAATTAAATAATTAATAATTTTCTACTGAATTCAATATAATGTGCGCATTTTTTCTGAGAGAACTAGTCATATAAAATGCGTTAAAGTTTGAAGGTTAAATATTTCTTTACTTCAATCGACTTGTTCTAGGCAATGAAGAGCTATTTTAAGACTATTTAAAGACAACCTTTGCATTTATTTGAAGAAAATCTTAAAAATATGGCTATTTTTCTTTGAGTGTATAAGGGTATCTCACTCTTGGTCGCCTCTATTCTGTGTGCAGATATGCAAAACGCTGTGCGCACATAAATTTTAGTGCTGGGCCACGCTTATTTGCATAGGAATTATGTATTTGGGCATGGCGGCTTAGCTGCATTACACAGGGCACCAGCACACAGATCTGGACACACACAGAAATACAAGCACACACACACACTCTCTGTGGTCATGCAGAAAACTAACGCATATCGTTTTCCTTGTATTTTGCAGCTATAAATTTACAACGCCCCAGGAAAATGCATTGCAGCAAAACAAGCAATTAAAGCAGTGCAGCCCCGCAACCACGAACCGAACCTGTAGGTAGTATCCTGCCGCTGCCTGCTGTGCTAAAAACCTATTTTGAATAATTAAAATTCCGTAAGTGCTGCAGTCGAAGACGTCGACAAAGGCGAAGTGGAAGTGGCAGTGCAAGTTGTTGGAAAACAGAAAGAACCAGGGTCTGCCATTGCTCGCAACACAATCTGCGGCCTGCAAATTCGTGTGCAGCAATGGAATAATTAATTCAATGCACCTGACCAAGCCGGCGAGCAGCAGAAGCAGAAGCCGAAGCAGAATCGCTTACAAATTCGAGCGTCCCAGCAACATCAACAGCAACAACAGCAACACCGGCAAAATGGCCGCCGAAGCGAGGACAATTAGCCAGCCAGGACATATCCGCGATCAGCGCAAGGTTATGCCCCACATCCTGCTGCTGGCCATCGCAGTGGTGTCACTGCAGTTCGAGAGCGGTAAGTTCAACCAAAGATAGTTGTTTATCTTATGTTATGGTCATCCTATGCATCTGGTACTGCCAACTCACCTATTTAATAGCTAAAGATAAATTAATGGAATAGAGTTGAAATTACAATTTTTAATATAATGTATATAATTTTTACAGGATTAAAAATTATTTATTTATTATTTACACCTAATCCAAAATGTTCTTATTGATAGCTAGAAAAAACCAACATTGCAAATATGCACTCAGTGTTAATATAACCACTGTTAGTGTGGGATTTTCCATCTTTGCTAATCCATGGCAGGCACTACTGATCACAGTTTGGGGGCCCTTGGCAATTGCAATTGCAAATTCAATCGCGTGCAAGAGGGCTCAGTCAATCAGCGGGCCCAGCCGCAAAGCCATTCAATTGACAAAGCCACAAATTGCGGCACGGGAAGGTGGAGACTTCGCTCGATGACGTCGAGCTTTGTTGGCCGGCGAATTAATCTCACGGATGAATATTTCAAAGCGAAACTTGAGCAATTAATTTCGCTAATTGCTTTTCTTCGCCTCGTTTTTGTCTCAGGACGAGGCCTTTGCATTTAAATGCCCGGCAGTGGGTGCATTTCAAGGACTCAACTTTTGCCTGTGCATAAACTCAATCTGACATTTATGCGAATGTCCACGGAATCAAATAAGAGTAATGACATTGCCAGCCAAAGGAGCCCGGCAGCAGGAAGCATCTAGCAGGGCAGTGTCTTGGGATCTGGCCGAGTTTGGTTCCTTCAACGAACCAAACTGGGGATGCGGCGGTGCAATGTCCTTTGGCTACTCAAACATTCCAGTGGCTATTAGTATTCATATCTTGACTGAACTAAACTGAAAGCTTAAATTCCTCTGGCCATTCGCTCCTCTTCCTTTTTGCGGAGGGACTAGTTTTTGGGATTCCGTTTTTATCTGCCAACGTTTGCATGAATTTTCATTTCGTGCTAGAATTGTTGAAAAAGATGCAATTAAATTTTAGGGCCAGGGGTGTCGGGAGCAGAAGAAAAACGAGGACGGAAGCTAACTTCGGCAAGCCGAAGTTTTAATACCCTTGCAGACTTTGACGAAATTGCTAAAAGTGAAAAAGTAGCGAAAGGAATAAGGTATACATAAGTAAACTAGATTTGCATCGTTTCAAGTCAATTGCTTTTATATGCAAAATGTCATATACAAAAGGGATACTTTCGCAGCCTTTAACAATTTTTCCTATCTCCTTTAAGATATAGACTTCGAGCGGCAAGCGCTTTTACCCTAATCAGATATGCGTAAATAAATAAGAATTGGAAAATTTTATGTTAGTAGCTTACACACTGCGCGAAATATTCTAAAAAACATCTAATTTGGACCGATTTCACCCTATTGTTCCTATGGGAGCCATTGGATATAGGCGTCCGATCAGCACGCGCTTTTACCTTGACGAAGGGTTGCATAAAAAATACGATTTGAAAAATGTACAGCAATAGCTTTTAACATCGCGAAATATTCTGAAAACATTAAATTTGGACCGATTTACCCTATTGTTCCTATGGGAGCTATAGGATATAGACGTCCGATCGTCAGCGCTTTTACCCTGATCAAGGTACGCATAAAAATAAGATTTGGAAAGATTTATGTCAATAGCTTTTACACTGCGCGAAATATCCTAAAATCATTAAATTTTAACCGATTTTACCCTATTGTTCTATGGGAGCTATAGATATAGACGTCCGATCGTCACGCGCTTTTACCCTGATCAAGGTATGCATAAAAAATATTTGTAAAGATTAATGTCAATAGCTTTTACACTGCGCGAAATATCATAAATTCTTGCAAATATATCCAATTGTTCCTATGGGAGCTATAGGATATAGACGTCCGATCGGGGCGATTTTCAAACTTGATCTGCGTACATGTTTTAGGACGATTGTGAAGTTTCAGATCGCTAGCTTTTAAACTGAGCTCGCAAACGGTATTGAAACAGACGGACAGACGGACAGACGGACAGACGGACAGACGGACAGACGGACAGACGGACATGCTATATCGACTCCCTATTGATCCTGATCAAGAATATATATACTTTATGGGGTCGGAAACGTCTCCTTCACTGGACCAAAATTATAATACCCTCTGCAGGTATAAAAACCGAAGGAGATGTAGATGGACGTGGTCATGGACCCGGAGACGAATGCGGGAATCAGACGACGAGTCAGATATAAAGTGCATTTATAGAGGAGGGCGCGCAAAAAAGCTCAGCACGAATTTTCCAAGTCCCTGACAGTGTCTCAGTTCCGTTTCATCTTCTACCCCCCCCTCGACACTGAATTTCCCCGCGGCGACGCTTCTTGTGCGGTTGCAGCTGCCGTCAGTGGCAAGAACGCATTATTAATTTATTTTTCAACTTGCTAGATGAATAAGCAAAGAGCAAAAATGCTTCTCGATTGCTGCTTTGGATGCAGCCAAGCAAAATTTCCCAATTTAAACGTCGTCTCGCTCGGTTCGAATCCAAATCCGAGACCGCTTCAGTTCGCTGGGCAGGGCAGAGCTCCATTGTCAGGTCATTTTGCATGCAGCTTTGGCACGGGTTTGAGGGTTTAACACAGAAGGGCAACGTGTTTCGAACGGACTTCAATCTGCTGTCCATCACTGTCTTCGATCGTGCTCGGACGAGAACCGCAAAGGAAATAAAATCCAAAAGTGAATAATGAACCGCAAATAACTTCACTTTGTCCGGAGCTCCCGCTCCCCGAAAATTCCCAGCTCCCGCCGATTTCCTGGTGTTTTTCAATTGCTGCAGGACGTTTGTCTGGCGCACTGGCAAACTGCGAGTGTCAGTAACAATTAGTTTTGGCTTGTAGTCCAGTTAACAGACGTTTTAGCTCTGTTTTCAAATATTTGCATTTGCGGTTGTCAGACTGCAGTCGACTGCATCCCGCCCCCTCTCATTTCGCTGGCTTTGGTTTTTATTCCGAATTTTTCCACAATTAATGAAGTGCAAAATGGTTGCCGAATGAGCTGATAGAGTTTGCATTTGCCAACCACAAATCTCCTTCATCTTCATTAATGTTGAATATATATTGTGACATAAATCACACAATCAAATTATCTGCATCCCCCATTCGCCTCGGGGGAAAAACAGATTTGGATTCAGCTGTCCGACTCAACTAATCAATTTGACATAGGTAAGCTGCCACAGCAAAACTTTAACCCGAAACTTTGGCTACTCGCATTTCGGAAAAGTTGTTTCACCCCCCTCCCCCAGTTAGATAACACTTTGCACATACACATACACATGTGCCAGTGGGTAAGTGATATTTATTAACTGCATGGACCACAACCCAAATGCAAATAAATCAGACATCAGGCAGTGCAAAACTTGGTTAAAACAAACGATAATAGGGGCAATGCCATTGGCAACTGAGCCGGAAAAGTTGCCAATGTTTAGGGGTTTGGGAAAAGCAAAATAAACAAAAAACCACAAAAAGGATATTGACGTGTGACGGGTATGAGGACGAGGACGCATCGAGAGACTCTTGAGGCCTACAAGTTGATGGCATTGCAAGACTGAGTGGGTGGGCGTTCATCCATCACTCTCGGGCCACCCCTTCCCCCTTTTCCACCACCCAACCCTCCTACTTTTCCACTTTTCTTGAGTTTAGGTGCGGCGGTGTCAAGTATTTGCACTTGAATTGCGCGCTAAGCAAAATTTACGCGCATTTGTTTGTGCGACTCCAGAGAATTTCCCCGTCGCGTTCGAGGCTCAAGTGAAAATCGATGAGGCGATGCCTACATGTACACAGAAAAATCAATCATACTGATGAGCTATTCAATCAGCATATTTCTCTTTCCAAAGATTCAACGACATAATATTTGAAAAACGTACAGGTTTCTAAATTAACATTTTTTTAAATCTGAATTTTTATACCTTAAAAAATATTAAGTGCAAGTACAATTACTTAACTTTTTGACTCGATTTGATCGGTTCATGAAATATTTTATACTATTCTTTCTTCTTGCTTGAAAGGTATTGTAAAGTAGTGTATCGAAGTATACAAATTTTTAATATTTATTATTCCATAACAATGCTTAAAATTTTATATTTTATGGGAACACTTTTTAAAATTATGTCTAAATATTTATAATGTCATGGAATTATGGGTTACAAATTTAAAAGCAAATGAACTCGCTTACATTTTTGTTGTGTATGCTAAAGGACGTTAACATTGCTGCTTGGCCACAATGTTTTCTTTTCCGCCTCCGATTCGCTTGGCTTTTTATTGGTTTCCTTCGTTTTTTTTTTGGTTTGTTTGATTTGGCTGTTGTCCTGCTTCTGGTGTCATGAGCAAAGGAGCAGCATTTGAGCAAACAGACTAGACCTGCCAACATACACACAAGGACACACGGAGAGGAAGGACGAGACACTCAATGCCTTCATCCCGGGCACATATTGCTTCATCTCTCTACGTGAGGCTGCCGGGCTAGGCATCAAGTCTGTCGACAACATCAACGTCAACGCCATCATCTTAACCAGCTCGGCTCCAGCCTCAGCCACCAGCTCCATATCCAAATGTTTTCCTGCTCTACAACCCACATCCCATCTCTATATTCCATTCGCTATCCAGCTCGAGCTCCGTCATTATGGGCTTCGGCTGGCACTTCACAAAAATGCACACAAAATCCTCAACTCTATCTCGTCAATAACTTAAGTGCCAGCCAGGGCTCTCAGTTCCTGTAAGAACCCCCCACAGTTTTAGTCGGTTTATTTCGGTTCTGTTGTACACACAAAGAAAATGTTTTGAATTCCAGCTATTGTTCTCGAAATAATGAATAAATAATGAGTAAAGTACCGGATGTCCAGCGATGAAAATGGCCATTTTTGAAACAGTTTGAAGAATGTTTGTGGATGGCCTGGTCCTACAACTTTAATTTCTATTAAAGTTTCCTTTAGAACTGATGGTGATTTGGTGCCGAGTGATTTTATTCACAAAAACAATACGGCATTGT